ATTCAAGTCATTAAGGATATGTATGCTAGAGTTGTTACTTGTGTTCAAACTAAAGGAGGATTGACCAAATATTTTTCTATTTCTGTTGTATTACATCAGGGATCAGCTTTAAGCCCGTATCTTTTTGCTTTAGTTATGGATGGTCTTACTGGACATTTACATGAGGACGTCCCTTGGTGGATGCTTTTTGCTGATGATATCCTTCTCGTGGATAAGACGAGAGAAATAGCCCAGGCATAACTTGAATTATGGAGTTCTACATTGGAGTTTAAAGGCCTTCATTTGAGTAGTACTAAAACTGAATACATAGAATGTAATTTTAGTAGTAGTAGCTCTAGTGACAGAAGTGTAACTTTGGGTGATCAAATTATTAAAAGGTGTGAATGATTAGTTTTCTCGGGTTTGTTTTTCAAAGCGATGGTGATATAGATGGGGATGTTAATGGTATAATTCAAGTTGGTTGGTTGAAATGGAGAGGAATGCTTCGGGCCTTTTGTGATAGAAAAGTGCCGCTTAGACTGAAAGGAAAATTTTATAAGAGGGCGGTGAGACCTGTAATGCTCTATGGCGCTGAATGTTGGCCTTTAAAAGAGAAGCATAATACTAAGTTAAGTGTTGCCGAGATGAGAATGATTAGGTGGATGAGTGTCTTTACACTTAGAGAAAAAATGCAAAATGAATATATTCGTGATAGGGTTGGTGTAGCTCTAGTGATGGACAAAATTAGATAGAGTCGTCTTAGATTGTTTGGTCACATTAAACGTCGCCCATCTAAGGATCCGATTAAGAGAGTAGATGTTTTAGATTCGACTTTAGATTCGACTTATAGTTTTAGATTCGACTTATATTAAGAAAGGCAGAGGTAGTCCTAGGAAGACTTGAGTTTATTGTATAAAAAATGATCTTAATTTATTAGAACTAAATGAAAATATGGCACGAAATAGGAAGACTTAGGCAGAGTGTCTTTACACTTAGAGACAAAATGTGAAATGAATATATTGTGATAGGGTTGGTGTAGCTCTGACAGACAAACTTTGATAGGGTCGTCTTAGATGGTTTGGTCACATTAAACGTCAACTATCTAAGGATCCGATTAGGAGAGTAGATGTTTTAGATTCGACTTATCTTAAAAAAGGTAGAGGTAGTCCTAGGAAGACTTGGGCTTATTGTATAAAAAATGATCTTAATTTTTGATCTTAATTTTCTTAATTTTTTAGAACTAAATGAAAATATGAAACTAAATAGGATGCAATGGAGAAAAAAGATTCATGTAGCCGACCCCACGTAGTGGGATTAAGGCTTTGTTATTGTTGTTTGTTGTACATATTGTTCTTTTAGATTTCCTGTGGACTGTTTGATATTTTTCTCAGTTCTCTAAACTTTTACATTTAAACCAATATTTATTACATAATTTCTTATATTTTATCTTTTCTTGTAAATTATTATTCCACCACCAACTATTTTTATTTATAGAAACTTTTTTTATGATTCTCCAAGTAATTCTTTTCCTTGTTTAATAGTATTTGTTACTTTATCCCACATAGAATTTGCATCTTCATGAACCCAAATTTTCAAATCTAAATCTTGAATTTTACTCATAAAAATAATTTTATTTCTTGAATCCTTTTGTGCATCAGACTTCTTTAATGAACAAATGTTGAGGAGTTTAGTAACTATCTCCTTAATAACTTAATGAATTTTTGATGTGAAGCATCTCATATTTTAGTTGATAGCTTAACTGCCTTGCTGGATATGTAAGTGGTGACAAGTGACAGCCAACTCGGAAGGTTTCGACATGACACTTTCAAGCATTGTGAAGAAGATTGATAAGTTCTGCTTAAAATTTACTTTTTTCTTCTCAAATAGTGTTGAGATAGCAAGCATTTGATTGAATAAATTCCCTCCAAAAGTGGCTATTCTATTTGGAGTTGGCATTTCATGTCCAAATTCTTGATTAATACAACCACATGAAAAATGTTGAGAAATTTGTGACCAAATATGATATTGTTGGCAGATGCTGCTAAATCACCATAAAGTCAACTTGCTGTTTTGTCCCAAGAAACTTGTGATCTCCTCATATGACTTCAGGGGCATGAGTCCTTTAGGAATGCACCTCTCTCCAAATAATCTGATTAAAGATTTGTTGATTGCAATTTTCTGTGCTTAATCCTAGCTTGTCAACTAAGTGGTAGAATAAACTATTGATTGAGCCACCATTATCAATGAAGTTTCCGTGGACCGCATACTGGTTTATCATGGTCTCAACCATCATTTCATCATCATAGATTTTTCAATAGATTTGGAAATCCTCATTTGAGAAGTATATAATGTGAGAGTAAATAGAAGTGAAGTATTTCTTCGTAGTGCCACTTTGGGTTAACGGGTGAAGTTTATGTTTGACTTGGAAATGATTGGTATCAATACAGTCAATCTAAACCCCATCCGTTTATTGAATGGGTGAATAACCTTAATCCTATCCAACTTGAACACATCCAAAATAATACAGCATGAAAAATACTTAGTTTGTGATAGTTTAATGTCAACTAAAAAAAAAGTTGACTTAATTATCCAATTTGGACATGATAACTAAAAAAAAAAATACAGTTTAATATATTTTTTCTTGAAATTAAAAGAATCAAATTGTTAAGTAATTATTTTTGGGTCGACTCATACCCAAACTAGCATGGCTCAAATTAGCCGGACATGAACCTTTACCAATTTTCTTGGTCACTTGAGCTAAACCCAAACTAGGCCTGAATTTGAATTTTTCACATCGGGTTTGATTCAAGATTTTAAGTTGGATTTAATATTGACACTCCTAGTTTATCTCATGATAATTGAGTCACTTTACACTCCTTTGTCAAGGGACTTCAATGCTTGCTCCTAGAGGTGCCAATTCAGTTAATGTAGTAAGTTTTGGTAGGGGTGTAAGTGAGCCTCGCTAGCAGGCTTGAGCTCAACTCATCAACGAACTTGCGAGTTGAGCTTATCGAGCTGGAACTTGAGCCCAAACTCAAACTTATTTATTAAACAATCTCAAGCTTAAGCTCGTCAAGGCTCGGCTCGTTGGCTTGCCAGCTGGCTCAACTAGTCAGATTTCAATCATATTGATGCGTTCTCTGGTGAGTTGCCGCAATACTTCTCCTTCTCTATTGTCATCAATCACTTGGATGGCTGCTACTGTGAGCTTTCATGGAAATTTCATTCGATCTTGCGAGCCAATTGCGAGCTTCCTGTTCGTTTCACAAGCTGAGCTCGACTCAAGCCTGAGCTTGTATTTTGGTAAACGAATTGACTCTACTTAGGCATGACTTCCAATATTTTTTTATCAGTGGTAGAGGAGGAAATAATCATTATAACCCAAGGGTTGGAAAAAAAAAGGGTTTTTGTGCATTCATGTACTTTGTTGCTTTTTTAATAGATTAGCCATCATTTGTGGAGGGTTTTTAGCAATGATACATTTAATTTGACTCTCTCTGAGTCCAAGGACGAGAGATATTTTAGCTATTGAGGGGTTGGTGTCAACAACTATGTGATTTGCCTTGGTGATTTGGTAATGTATGCACATAAACTGTCCTCTCTTTCTGTCTACTACAATAATGAGTGTGAGTAAGAGGCCTATGAGAGCTCAAAATTGAGCACAAAATACTCAATCAAGTTGCTGAAAGTGGCGATATATGCTATTTGCGGATATGAGTAACAACTAAGTTCTCTTAAACTTGGGAGGGGCTTGTTAGTTTAAAATCTTCATTTTATGAGAGGTATGACGAGCACCACCGATGCTAGTACTAGGAATGCCAATGATGGATCTTTTACTCTTGTTTAATGAGACTTTTGTCTTGGCTGATCCGTTTGAGTAGCGGTAACAAAGGATCAGGTGGGTTCACTTCAACTGCTTGTGTAAGATAATTGATCTGAACTGATAGTTTAGCAAATCACACATTGAGATGCACCTGAGATACCAAAGTAGTTGTAAAAAGTACAAGATTTGATGTCTCCAACTTGGTGACTAGAACCACCTTTTTCATTGGTAGAGGAATATATGGATTATGAATATTGTTGTTGTTTTCACACATTGTTTTCTTTCAATTCAAAAGGATTTCCCACAGAGAATGCCAAATATGAACACAGAAATTTCTCGATTATTCAGATGAATGCATTGGAAAAGTAATACATTATGAGAGTTAGTGAATTTAAGAAATTTGAGTTGAACTACTATCAGGAATAAGTAAGCAAAATATAACCAAACTAATTTTCAAGTACTTCAGTATTACAGCTTCTATCTATTATGCAAGGCTAGGAGTTCTTTTATTTTGGAAAGGATTCGCGAGAATGTAATTTAAATCAGTTCTTGATATTTCAAAAAGATACTGTGAAGTGATGATATATGGTTCACTTATATCTGCATTTTATAATTCCTGCAAGGGAAACATTCTGGGCATTATATTTGGATGCTAATTAAAATATCAAACTATTGCTTTCATCGATGAATTTATGCCATGCTTTGATTGAGCTCTGAGTTACACAAGTGAGTACTAAATTAACATCTTTCTTTAAATGTTGATTGATTATGTTATGTCTTAAGTGAGTTTGATTGACAAACCAGATATCCGCATGGATATGAAAAGATCTAAGCGGATTTACTTGTGTTTGAAGGGAATGAGATTTTTTAGTGGAATTTGACAATTTGTTTACGTACTTTTAGATTGATTGCATGGGGATCTTCAGTTTTGGGCAAATTTATTTTTCATATGAGTCCTTTGCTAGGACACATGCATTGAGAAACATTTTCTAAATTTGTAACTGGAATTTGCAGCATGTGCTACTTCAAGTAGCTCACGGCTTCGCTTTACCAAAAATCTCATAATTTAGATGGTTCTTCTGTTTTCTGTTACTTACGTATGAGGTCTTTTTTTTGTACCCCTTCCCTGAAATGCAATTTAATCTATGTCAAGATTCCTTGTTTACTAAAATACTCTGATCAGTAGTCTTTATTGCAGCTATTGGTGAGCTTTGTAATTTTACTTGAGGTAATTTATGAGAGCAAAATATGTCGGACACAGCAGCTTTTGATATGCATGATGTTCCACAAGGTCGGCTCCCCGAGCATATTGAGCTTCGGAGGACCCGAGTATTTTGCAAAGCTGATGCCCCAATACATGTAAGAGATATTCATTATTATTATTATTATTAATATTATTATTATTATTATTATTATTTAATGCTATTTTTTATGCTCTGCATTGTCATTGTTTTTTAATCTAATCATCATGTTGAGTACGCTATTCCTTGTTTGGTAGCTTTCTGTTGTATAGAATAATTTTGATTTTCTTTTTAATTTATGATCCTTGAGATAGAAAGTGATGGTATCAATTTAATATGATGTTGATACATGTAAGGGAAACTCTCCGATGATGTTGTGAACGACTTCATTGTTAAATAGCTTTATGATGGATGTTTCATTTTTGTTAGGGGTAAACATTTTAGATTTTGAAATTCTGTATCATCTGTATCTAATACTTTATTGTTTTATCTGTTTAAGATTGAAATACTTGAATTCTTTAGACAGAGGATGTCGAATATTCTGGTGCTTATGCGGCGATGGGCTTTGACAATAGTTTGCAACTAGACGATTTTCACAGAAATTTCAAAGTTGAAATAAAGAAGCTTTCAAATGATGTTATTGAATTTGACATGATTGGGATCGACGCTTCTTTGGCTAATGCATTTAGGAGGATTTTGATTGCCGAGGTATGCTTGTTAGTGTAATCCACTCTTTGAGGTATTGTGTTTGGTAGGGTTTCCTTTCTTTATGGATGGATGCGGTCTAATCCGATGTGTATTCAAGGATTTTGTTTGTTATCTGGAATAACAAATTACATAATATTTTGAACTGATATAATGATTTCATAATATTTTGGGCTTCCCAACCGATTTTCATGACTATCTTTTAAGCTTTCTATTTATTTCATAAGTTCAAGATGTTGAGTTTTTGTACGCATGGATATTCTCTGGAATATGTAATTTTTCCCTTGCCTTCTTAGGTTCCAACAATGGCCATTGAGAAGGTTCTCATTGTTGACAACACATCTGTGATGGCTGATGAGATACTATCCCATAGGCTGGGCCTTCTACCAATCGAGGCTGACCCAAGGCTATTTGACTTCCTCTCTGGTTTGTCTAATAGTTCCATTTTTCTTAGTTTTTCTTGGTTACTACCTGTAACCATACTGTTATTTTCCTTTCATGCAGAAAATGATACTCCAAGTGAGCGTAATACTATAGTATTTAAAATGAAAGTTCACTGTAAGAAGGGTGGCCCTCGTCTTACTGGTATGACATGATTTTGTGGTACCATTTTTCTTTTTTCCTGGTTGAATTTTTATTTCTATTTTTTGCCCAACACTGTTAAATTTATGAGCAGCTGGAATTCTACTAATTTGTGGTTTTCCGTGGTTGTTTTGTATTTATATAGTGAAATCTGATCAGTTACAGTGGCTGCCAAATGGCAGTGAGCTTTTAATGGAATCGCCTAATCCATCTACAAAACCACGCAGTTACACTTCTTTCTCTTGTAGTCAAGCTCATCTACCACAATTTTCGGGCAAACCACTCGGTTTGAAGCATCCTGATATTATCATTACTAAGCTTGGTCCAGGACAGGTGATTTGTAAATTTTATTTAGTTTTGTAGGATTTATTGTCTCCTTGTTTGCACTTCGTTGCTTTCGGTTTGCGTCAACATAAAGCATATGAATCGAAGTATTGCTGTTACACTGAACAAAAATTGTATAGAAGAGTTCAGTTTTGCAGCGAATGAATTGTAGCAACTAATTCACAAGCCTTAAAAGGCTTGCTTTATTTGCATGCCTCCTGACTTAATTATTTCTGCACATTTACCAGCCTGTTTGGGATGGTTGTGGTGTAAAGGTGTGAATGTGATGAAGCTGTTATGAGAAAATTTATTATTTTTAATATATATATATTAAAAAGTTGTACAACCGCTTTCATACAGTTGTCACACTTAACAGATTTGGCTATAAAGCAGACTCGACCACAATTTTTTGAAAATCCAGAATATAGTTGTCGAATGGGGTTGCGATAATGGTTTGAAAAGTGAAGCAGTGAGAAAGTTACCCTAAACAAACCTGAGTTTAAGAAATAGAAATTTATAGATGCTTCTACATGGCTTTCAATTAATGCCTTTAATTTCATTTTAGTATGAAAAACCTACCTTTTGAAACGAGTGAGCTTCTGCCTTCATTTTTTTTCCTTGCTTCAAATAAAAACCTGCATGAGTATTAGTGTTGCTAGCGGTTTGAAAATATTATTGGTTATGGGCGGGCAAGTTTTGTATACTGGAGTAATAGCTGCCCTTGCTAGTTCCCATTATTCTCTGATATTGTTGTTGCTCCGTGTTTGCAAAGAAAAACATGCATGCTGTTAACCTGGTTGAAGTTTGAGCATCTTTAGTTCTAGAGTTCTAATATTTGAAACTGCCCCAACTTCCATTGAGGAATTGGAAGATTCATGAAACTCAGGTAAGCGGTGTATTTACAACTCAGCGGCAGGCAATTCCCTTAAGTATGAGAAACTGCTACTTTCCCAATAATTTTCCATAAAAAAAAAAGAGAAATGCAAACTGTGTTCTTCGTTCTGAACTGATTAGTATGCATGTGAATAAAACTTATGATTCACTGACATTATCCATGACATGTTTTTTGGTTCATCAGTTTCCTTCTATTCGCAAGGCTTATATTAGAAGTTCACTTGCTATTTATTTTGAGAATAATTACATTTAGTTATAAATAGCTTGCTTGCCTCAGTAGTTTCCTCTTTACTTTTTCTAGTCTATTGAGCTTGAAGCCCATGCAGTGAAAGGCACTGGAAAAGTTCATTCCAAGTGGTCTCCTGTCGGTACAGCATGGTATAGGATGCTACCGGAGGTATGATGCATAAAATTTAAAAGCTCTGAAATTTTCTTTTTCATATGAGATCCTTCACAGATTCCTTTAATATATGCACTTTTATTTGACAGGTTAAACTATTGAAAGAAGTGAAAGGAAATGATGCAGAAAAACTTGTCAAGAAATGCCCAGTTAAAGTGTTTGATGTTGAAGATGTTGGGCATGGTAAGCTCTCTACTGTCTGTTCATTGGTGATTCACATTTGGCTATTATGCGCATATTGCTTGACAATAAATAAAATGCTTGTGAAGGGTTTTGGTGAAATACATGGCTGACTCAAAGTTAACAATCTAAAGGTTCATTTAGATAAAAACCAACTTGAATATAATCATTACTTTATCTTTTCTGTAGATTAAAAACTATGTCAATTGTACCTACCATTTGGTCCCGTTGATTCAACTATATGATAAATATCTCTCACACCCTTTATGCGTGTATGCAGGTGTCTGCATAGTTGTACTTTGTTGTTTGAAATTTTAAATTGCTGGCACAGAATGTTGATTAATAATCTTAGTGATAATTTGTAAGCACTTTTTGATAAATTTCTCTCACACCCTTTATGCGTGTATGCAGGTGTCTGGATAGTTGTACTTTGTTGTTTTGAAATTTTAAATTGCTGGCACGGAATGTTGATTAATAATCTTAGTGGTAATTTATAAGCACTTTTTTGAACTGCATGACTTATTATTGTCTGCTATCTATTTTCTTAATACAGACGTGAAGAAGGCGGTAGTTTCTAAGCCGCGAGATTGTACGTTGTGCAGAGAATGCATTAGAAGTGGCGGTGAGGAGAACATTGCGCTAAGGCGTGTTAGAGACCACTTCATCTGTAAGCATAGTTTTAATTATTTGCAAATCTGATAGGATTTATTGTTAGTTTGACTTAATTTGGTATTTTTAGGTATACCATGTGGCATTTGCCTAAAGGCTTGCATTTTACCGAGCTTTAGCTCTATATATTCCTTTGGAAGACCATCCTTTGCCTCACATTAATTTTGTGATTTAATACTGAGTTGTGAAGTCTAGCGCTTGCTATATTTTTTTCCAATTGTAGCATATTGTGTCAAACATTAAATCTGGATTCATTTTGGTATAATTTTAACATCAACCCTTTAACTTCCAAGGTACATATGATAAAGTCGTTATGAGTATCCTAAATTGTTATTCGAGTGACAAAATATTTCTAGATAATAGTTGGATTATATAAATAATTAGCCAATGTTATCAAAGCACAATGCGATGCTCAAGATTTTATTTTTGCTTCAAAGTGTAGAGCGAAGCGGTGCTTTTAATAACCAAAGCGCTAGTATGTTGCATGAATTAGTATTGTATAAATGTATTCATGAGCAATTATAAAACATAAAATGACTTAAAAAGTTCATATAAAAGAGAAAAATGTTGTACAATACCTAACTTGAAGACAAACATTAAGGGTGAACCTGCAAATTAAAATGTCAAACAATTTCAAATATTTACTACAAAAAAAAAAAAGTATTACAAAAAAAACATCTTATAACTCAACTAAATCTAAATTTTAAAGCATTAATAAACTAATAAGTCTCATATTTCATAAAATAAATTAAAGTAAATCAGTAGTCTTCATCATCTCTTTCTTTTTTAGGTATAATTTCATCTTCAAAATTTTCTTCTTTGTCCTCTACCACTACTACTACTACTACTTTTTCTTCTTCCTCTTGTGAATAAAATTTATCTTCTCTTTTTGGCACAGAAGAAGCGGATACATGTCGAGTTGAACTCATCATCATTGTAGATGATGCCTCCTTTTTTTTACCCGACTAAATCATTGTAGAGCTTTGAGTGGCATGTACTCTTCCTATTAAAAGAGCTTTGGATGCTCGGCACAGAGCAATTCAATGCCATTTATTCAATTTTGTTCAATTTTACATTTAAAAGAACCTTAATATTTCAATAAAATAAAGTTGGTAGAAACAAAATATCGTAGCAATTGGTATCATTTAAGCATACGCTATGCAAAAATCTGGTGTTCCACTCCACATTTAATAGTGTAAAATGGGTAGTATTTAGGAATGAAGTAACTATTTATAAATTGACAACTAATGGAATTAAGCAATGCTATGATCCATTGTCCTCCTATTTCTTCCTTAGCATGCAATAGGTTGGAGAAAATACAGTGAAGTTTGAAATAAATAAAAAAATTAAATTTCAGCAATCTCCCTCTTAATTCAGAATTTTTATTGAAAAATTAATATAATCTTGAAATTAATTCAAGGTTAGAATAAAATCCTGGCTCAAAAGAATGGTGCTTGATATCCAACTAAAATATAATCTATTAAAAGAATCATGGCATTTAAATATCACATTATGTTACATTTATAAATTATTAAAAATTATATTATGTGTAAAGGAATATGGCTTGACAATAATTCATTGGGCTTACATTGACACTCACTTTTAAATAATTGGACAATAATACATTGGGCTTACAATTTTCCTATCTGGAATTCATGGAGGTTGCACATAGGGCACATGCATATTTACATACATACCCTTATAATGGGGTATTTACATACATACCACCCTACAATTTACATAGGAATTGAGTGGTAGGTATAAAAATCTTCCTGTTAAAAGAATCAATTTACTGGACTGAAATATCTGTAGTTAATGAAAAATAATTTTTTTTCTAATAATGGGGCACTTACATACATACCACCCTTCTTCGAATGTCAAAGCCCTCGAGTCCTCTCAGAACTTCTGCAGTTGAAGACCCTCTGCAGTGGAAGCGCTTACTGTGGTCGAAGTTCCTGCCGTGTGCGGTGGAAGAGTCCATCGCGTGAACCGAAGCGTCCGCCGCCGCAATCGAAGCGTCTGCCGCAACTGTCGATGGTGGAAGCTTCTGCTGTTTGTGGTTGAAGGTCCTCTTGCGGTCGAATGTCCTCCTGCAATAGAAGGTCAAAGCTTCTGCCGTCTGCATCGAAGGTTGAAGTGTCTCCTGCGGTCAAAGTTACTGCGGTCGTGCAACGTTTGAATCGATGGCTTCAAACTCAAGCGTGAAATCAAAATTGAAATTGAAATTGATGCTCTCCCTCAAACTCTCAAACACCAATAAAAGAATTCTACTTCTTGTGGCTAGGTCCTTCAAACACAAGATCGAAACTTTAGGTATTATTTTCCTCGCTCATGAACCTAATTGTGCCGGTCGCTTCAACAAGCTTTGAGTGTGGTACAGATGCAAACAACGCGCCTCGTGCAGCAGTACTCCGTGATTGTGCTTCGGCCGGCCTCGCATATGAAGCGCGCTTCCAAGCATGCTTTTAAAAACACTATGATCAATATTTTTGTATATTTGTATTGATTATGAAGGTGCTTATAAAGAATTTCTAAATGGTAAGTGTTAGCTTGATTGAAAAGTAAGCCATAAATTTGGGAAATGATGAAAATTCTAGTTTCCTGCACCGATAGAGAAAAAAATGTGGGCACCATTTAAATTTCCCTTCATTTGATCATGCTTTTGGTAGCATTATTTACATTCTAAGGGAGGTAACTTGGTATCTTTTTTTTGTGGATGCTATAATTTTAATTGGTGAAATTTTCTATCAAGTATTTGAAATGTTAGATTAATCAGAAAATAATCTAGTTGGAATTAGTAGAACTAAGGTCATGTTTATGATATGTAATTTTATTGTTAATGTAATGTAAAGTATATATTAGTTACTATTATTGGATATCTATGGACTGTAATGTTATAATTTCTAGAATTAAGAATATGATGCATAGATGTTGTCATATCAAAAATTTTAAATGAAATTTAATAAAACTAAAATTAGATTGTTTGTCATCTGGATCAGTGTTGTGCAACGAATAAATTATTGCTAATCAAATTATGATAGAAATCAATGTTAATTGTATAGATTTTAAAAGGTCTCATGATCAAATTTTAATCAGAATATGCTGACCTATGCTTTTTTGTGTACTTTTTACTCTTTAATTCTTATTTATGCGTTTAAATTTCACCGTAGTTACTGTGGAGTCAACGGGTGCTCTACCCCCGGAAGTATTATTTACAGAAGCTGTCAAGATACTGGAAGAAAAGTGTCAGCGTGTCATTTCTGAACTTTCGTAGCAATTTAGGCGCAGCTTTGTAAGAGTTATGAGCTTCCTGCTTACAGTTTTGAATGTTTGTTTTTTGCAATAATGTTTGTAAGCATTCTCTGTAAATGCAGTAGTTGAATTATGAGGACACCATAGGGATATTCTGATCTGATGAGATGAGGCGGCATTTTTTCTTTCATTTGCCTGCTCTCTATTTCCACAAAAAAATGGTTTTGGAAATTAGCTTGGATAAAATGCAAGTTTGATTGTCTCACATAAAATTTAATAAAGCTGATTATGTGCATTATACTTTATATTATTCATTCAACTATGTAAACGAAAACTGGTTGGCTCTTATTCCATATTTCATGCATTCTTATGATTTAGTTCATATATATATATATATATTCAAAAGGTCCCTCTCTTTAGCAACTTGCAGAACTCCATGTACTTTGTAGACGAAGTTCACTGTTTTTACTTCTCAATGATAATCATTTGATGCAGTCAAGCTCAGAAAGATTGTTTTTATAATCGGTGAAATTAATCTTTTTTTATCCTTCTAGATTTTCTAACTCATTGTAGGTGGGAAAAGTTAGTACTTATTTTTTTGGGACTAAAGCTTCTTGAAAATTCGGTTGCTTGAAAAGTAGCTGCTGAGCCATTCATTTGATATTCTCTTTCTTCTTTGTTATCTTGATTGTTTTCCTCAATATGAGAAAGTTTAAACATCATGCCGTAATGTGCAAGCGGTTCGATAGATAGATTGGCGGGGTTATTAATATGTAGTAAGATTTTTTATTTGGAAATAATCTTTTTCAAAGTTTTAAACATCATGCCGTAATGTGCAAGCGGTTCGATATATAGATTGGCGGGGTTATTAATATGTAGTAAAATTTTTTATTTGGAAATAATCTTTTTCAAAGTCGAGACTTCTATGGAAGTCAAACTTTCAAATCTCGATCCTCTCTTATGAGGAACCTCCATGGCAACAACTTTAACTTTAGTAGGTTTCTAGCACAGCCTCGGGCAGGCATAGCACAACCTCGGGCAACAACTTTAAAAGTCGAGACTAGAGTTGGTGGGCATGACATGAAGATGGTTCAGTCGAGTGAGGCCTTCTACACATCCTCAGGCAGGTATGGCATGAACGATGACAACAAAGTCCATAGTATCCTCAATATGAATAGTTAGACCACCGAAATGGATGATAGCTCTAGTCTCTCCTATGTTGATAATGATGGTAGCTAGGCATATGTTGGCATTACTCCTAAGCTTCATCATGACGATTGTTTTGGAGATTCATAAGTTTGAGGTTTTCCATAGGTGCAAGTTTTTATGACTAATTATCCCTCTCGATACACGCTTTCAATTAAGGCTAGTCATTAGAAGCTGATTATTTAACAAATAGTTTGCCTCTTATTTAGTAGGGTAAACACACCATCCTTACCTTTTTTAATGACAATATCTTTTAATTGATTTATAAAATTCAATCTTAGTATAAGATATCTCATTGGACCCCAGTAGACTTTTCTAGTGTTTGGGTGGATATCAAACCTAACCCAAATGCCTAGGACCTATCCTACTCACCTTTAGACTCATTCTTGACTCACGTTGAGCTAGGATGACTTGGTTGATTTAGTTTGATAGAGTGTAAACCCTTGGTATCCTTGTGGAGCTCACTAAGACAATTAAATTGAATCACTCCAAATATTTGATTTCTAATGAATTTAACTAAATTATAGGCCAAATTGATTTTGGTTCAAAACTAAAATTCATGGAATTAAATTGGGCTAAATCATACTAGGTTCAAAACTAAAATCTACCCAATTGGACTTGAAATTTGGCTATTCGACGTAGTTAATTCGAGCATGGCCCATTAATGGTATGTTGGGTCAAATCGATAATAAAAATCCTAAATATATAATTCAATTTGATTAAGAGAATGAATATAATAAAACAAATATGTTAAATATTGGCTTGGAAATGATTTTTGTGAGGGTTGTGGTTAATGTTACAGATCTAAGCCAATAGTGAATATAATTCTCAATAATTTATTTAACAACTTGAAATCTTCTAACAAAAGAACGAAGCCTTTACTTCTAGACTCTCAACTAGTTTTGAAGCATGCACATAATTTTAAAATAAGAAACATTTTTAAGTTTAATAGAAAAGATGGGTACACCAAGATGATTGCAAGGTAGCTTTTTGTGGTTAAAACTTAGTGATTACAAATTGAATCATTAGTGTGAGGCCCCATAACTTTAAATAAGCATATAACAAATTTATCAATATTATAAGTTTTGAAAGACTAAAGAGTAGATTTGAGTGAAGATATAGAGTTTTTACTCTTACCAAAAATTAATAAATTATCAAGATATAATAAATGTGATATGATAGAGTTGTTCTTCTTGATGCTCAATAAGTTTATCGAATGACAATATAATACAAACATCTAGAGCAACTGTCCATAATAAATAAGAAAAAAAATTGAGAGAGGGGATAACCTTGACTGAGACTAAAAGGTGTTGGAAAAAATACCCTCACTTCACCATTTATGATTACATAGAAATATATAGAACATGTGTAAAAAAGAATCCATTGAATGAAGGAATAAAAAAATTCAACCTCTTAAATTTGTGAAATAGAAAATATTTATTCATTCAATTAAATTTTTTTATGTCAATTTTAGAGCTAAATATCTTGACATAGTTTCGAATTAAAGCTATGCGGTAGCTCATTAGCTAAGATAATATTATTTGATATATATCTACCGCAGATTAAGAAAAACTTTTTTGAGCTGGATGAATAAGCTTGGGAAGAAGCAAATTTAGGTTGATAGTAATAAGCTTAGTAATAACCTTATATAAGTTGTTAAAAAAGATATTAACTTGCAATCATTTAAAATGTTAGTATAAGTACTTTTGATTATCAAAGTGATTATAAATGGTTTAACTCTAATATGAATCTTGTAAAGTGAAAAAAGCATATCACTGTTTCAATAAATGAGGAGCTAATAATCTACCAAGTGTCTTTAAAGAATTTAGGGGTAAAGTCACTTGGAGTAGTGACTTTATCATTACCTATATTGAAAAGAGAAAACTTAATTTCCTCATCATAGAAAAAGGACAATATGCAAATTAACATCATCATAAGAAAGAAAGTTACCAATAAGAAGATTATAATTTTGCACTTCAGAATAATTCTCTATTGAGCGGATTATAAAAAAAAGTTACTTCTCTAGTTATGTCAACTTGAGAATGACGGGTTCTAGAATCACTAAGAATTTTTTTTAATAAGATTAAAATTCCCTTTATTTTAATTATCTAATACAAAAATATGAGATTAACTTCATCTTTGAAAAGCTAGGAGCATTTGTCACACTATTTAATCAATTTATTCTCAATGGTAGCGGATTTAACTAAGGCTCTTTTTGACAAGATAGAAGAGCTGAGTGGATGCTCTTCGAATGCATTAAAAAATTTGGACGGCTTATCTTTAAGATTAGACATAGTGTTTGCAATATAATTGAATCAATGCCAACTATCCTTTTTAAAAGATCTCATAAGAAAACTCCAATATTAGATAACTTGTTACAGGGTGCAAAAATAGGTACCCTTTTGTTTGAATATTCCATGCTTAATCAAGAAATTTTAAGTAATGAATCCAATAATTTTTGTAAGGGAATTTCTTCATGGTCAAAGAATGTGTTATAACCGAACATAGGATAGGTGAGTGATCAGAAGAGAGATGCTCCAATATCTTATAATGAGTTAATGAAAAGTGCTTAGTTCAATGATTTATAGAAGATGCAATCAAGCAAACATTTGATTAATTAGTTTTTGAATCAACTAAAGGATATACTAGTATTTGGAAGCTCAAGCATTCTAGAATAATGATTGATGAAATCTGTACGCTTATAGGGGAAAGAGGGATGGCCTTCAGTTTTTTATTAGGAGATTAAGTGTAATTAATTTCCCACAAAAAAAACCAAAGGTTTAGAAATGAGGGAAAACATATTAATAGGAGAGTAACATAGGATTTATCTCTTAGAAGTCCCATTCTCAGCGTAAATGAAGGTCATCTAAATGTGATTGAAGAATAAAACACCAAAATGTTGTGGATATTAAGGACCGGAAGAATTCCATTTGATTGCCATTTTGTTTAAGATAAAAATTATCATAACTATCTTCCATATCAAAAATCTTGAAACTTCTAGAGAAAAAACCATCAAAAGGTGTCATTCAAGAAGACAAATAATATCGATACATAGTAAGTGATCCTTGCATCATAATGAAGACACTCACATTTCAAGCCTTAATATTTGGATTAAACATTTGATTAACTAGTAGTAGAATCTCCTTTTGTATTATCTTTTTTTAAAAATTTAGAAAAATGTTTAACAAAGATAGTTGAAGCATTATTAGTGTCTCCATATGAAACGAAAGTAGTTATGGTTGTAAGTGGAGTATTATTGATAACAAAAGATCTCAATTGATATATGTTGAGCTTTTGCCTCATTATTCACATAGGTCAAGTTGTAAGGTAGAGGAGATGAATTATCATGCATAGCCTAATCACCCATAATTCAGTTTATGGAGAATAAAGATGAGAACTTTGCTAGTTCATTAGAGGTTTTTAGATGTTATTTTGAGAGATTTTGTTACATCTATGACATACAGAGTAAAGGCAAGAGAAATTCAATTGAAAGTTCACAACATAATTTTTCTCTCACTCGGTGATGAGGTATTAAGCAAAGTGGTTGAGGAGGAATATGTCAATAAATGTCTGGGAAAAATTCTAATTGTTGTTCTTGAAAAGATCATCAGCCGATTTTTTTTTTTGAGTGACTAAAACGCCTAAAAGATGAATAAATATTTATCTTTATTACATGTTTATTTTTATATATTACAGATGTTTGTATTTTTTATATAAGAAAGCCCCTAAAAGAGAATTTCATGAGGAGTTGGTGAAGTCACTAGAGCATTGCATCATTGTACCTAGGGCCTAGACACTTTAATGGTCAATCTTAACATGAGTTTTTCTGAAGAGCTTAAAGATGTGTTGCCAACTACCTAGCCTTAGTGCCTGAACCTAGAGGCTCATTGCCCATAATTCTAACTTCGTTGTTTTATTGAAGAGATGACAATGAGAAAAAGTGAGAGATCTCAACACCTCAATGCTGACCAATCAGTGTCTTAG